TGTCATCTTCTCCTTATCCTCTCATCTCACCTCCTCATTTCTCTTTTTATCCTCTTTTTAATTTATTAATTTATTTTTGTCGGGAAGTTCTGGAGTAACATCAACGAGAATCTACAAGAGACGAGAGAAGACCAGAGAGAGAACTGGCTGAAAATGGGTCAGAGAAAGGAACAAAAATGGAAGCAACTGGGGGACACAGAAGACGGGGGGAAAGGGACAGAAAGGGAGACACGGAGGAAGAGTAAATAATTACAGGACTCCAGGAGTTTTCAAAGCTCTTCTTTCATCAAATTTTTTTCCTGTGTCTGGGAAAAAGGGAGAAGGGGAGGAGAGGAAGACTAAAGTCCAAGCTTTAGTCCAAATCAGACACCAGGCACCAGTCAGCTGCATCAAAGACACTCTGAAGCTAATTGATGCCTTCCGTTTCAAAGACATTTATCATCTAAATGTTTACCTGTACAGGAAGGAGAGGCTCATGTAAAGTACTTGAATGCTGTTTTTGTAAGAGAAATGTTGAGATTACTGTTTATTGGGCTGTTGTTGGGCTCCTATTATACTCCATATGAATATGACATAAACAGGTTTTATGATCTCTGTATATGTGATACAATAAAGAAAATGAGACTTAATTAGGAGTAGCTTTTATATTTTTCTTTTTTATGACCAAAGTTGTAGCTGAATCCCATGTAACTTGTAAAGACTCAAGAATCTGCAGCAAAACACATTTTTGCAGCATGTGTGCTATCTCCCTCTAGCCTGGCAAGCCAGTCTAAATATAATATATGTATATATATAAATATATATATATGTATATATATATATATATATATATATATATATATATATATATATATATATATATATATATATATATATATATGTGTGCAACTTTTTAATTTATTATTTACTTTGCAAGGCAAGAATTTGGTCCAGTAGGCTAGTCTACCTCATATTCATTTTGTAAAAACTTTCAGTTAAAACAAATTAATCTAATGTAGTTGTGCTGAAACATTTTTATTCACCTCTTTCTTTCAGTTTAGGCATCTTGTGTTCAACATTTCAAAAGACTTAACAAGAGAAAATATTTTAACAATCTGTCTTCCATTTCAGTTTTCCATTTTCCCAATCTTTCTTTCTTTCTTTCTTTCTTTCTTTCTTTCTTTCTTTCTTTCTTTCTTTCTTTCTTTCTTTCTTTCTTTCTTTCTTTCTTTCTTTCTTTCTTTCTTTCTTTCTTTCTTTCTTTCTTTCTTTCTTTCTTTCTTTCTTTCTTTCTTTCTTTCTTTCTTTCTTTCTTTCTTTCTTTATAAGCTGAGAAGCTCCAAAATTTGAGAGGGCTCGGAGAAGAACAGCTACTCCAGTGCATGTGTTCTATTCTGCTTTCTCTTTTTGTGACGTCACAAATGGGGAATTTTGGAAACCGCTTGTTTTAGGTGAATGATTCCTAAAACCAAACACTGACAGTAAATGGATGGACAGATTATTTTCACTGTTGCACTGTTTATAGAGGCAGTGAGACCCACAAGACAGCGCAAAAGGATGCTAAAGTCACCCCGGTCAGCTGATTCAGGTCTTCCACCGATCTTCAGGGTAGCTCTCCTAAACGCCCGGTCAACTGGGAATAAAACCCTCATTTTAAGGGATTATTTTTCCCAGCATGAGGTGACATTATTCTGCATGAACGAGACCTGGGTTCTTCCTGGTGAGTCAGCTGCTATGTCAGAGCTCTGTTCTTCAGACTGTCAGGTTCTGAACGAGCCCAGGCTCACTGGTCGTGGTGGTGGATTACTAACCATGTTCAGATCCTCTTTCCATCCTAAAAACTTACTGTACCGGTGACTCCAACCAGCTTTGAGTTTATGGCTTTTGAGGTGGACTTTAGTCCTCCACTGCTGTTTATTCTCTGCTACCGCCCACCTAAGTACAATTCAAACTTTTTATCGGAATTTTCTGATCTTTTAACAGACTTTCTTCCAAAATATGACCGTGGGATTATTCTTGGTGATTTTAATATACATGTTTGCTGCCCTGACAAACCTCTTGTTGGTGGCTTTTTAGACATTTTAGATTGTTTTGGTCTCCAGCAACAGGTCCAGTCGCCCACCCATTCAGGATTGCACATTTTAGACTTGGTTTTGTCATTTGGGATCTGTATCTCTGATCTGATTGTTGACTCTGCATGTATCTCTGATCATTCTCCTATTATTTTTAACATCTGTGGCTTGACACCTCCATCCACTAGGCAACATAATCAATACCTTAAAAGAATAATTTCCCCTTTCACCACCAATCTATTAGCATCTAGACTAGCTGCGACTCTATCCACTTCCCAACCTGATTCCACCTGTGTAGGAGTTGAGGAGCTGCTGACCTCTTTCAACTCTTCCTGCTCAACTGTTTTAAATGCAGTCGCTCCTCTAAAATCCAGGCATAAAAAAACTGTGGCAGACCCTTGGCTCAATGAGGAGACTCGTGCCCTAAGACGCCAGTGTAGGGTCTGCAAACGCCGGTGGCGGAAGGACAAGCTGCAAATCTCCTACCAATTATTCAAGGATTCTTTGACCCGCTATCAGAAAGCTGTCCGCACAGCTAGAAACAGATATTTTGCAAATATAATCACTAGGCATAAAAACGACTAGAAGAAACTGTACAGTGTCCTCACCTCTGTACTATCCCTTAGAGAATCTCCCTACTCTTCTCCCTCTACAGGGGCTCTTTGCAATGAGTTTCAAAACTTTTTCCTGCATAAAATCCAGGAAATTAGAACCGGTTTCTCTCACTCAGGCTGGGTTACCTGTGTAGAACCTCACTGTCCACCCTCATTCTCTTGCTTTGCGCATGTGACACTCTCTTCCCTGGTTGATCTAATCTAGGCTATGAAGCCCTCAGGCTCTCCAGAGGACAGCCTTCCTCCAAGACTGCTGCGCGATGTCCTTCCAGCGGTGGCCCCTGCTGTTTTGGATATTGTCAATTCCAGCTTCTCCTCTGGTGTGTTTCCAGCTGCTTTTAAAAATGCAGTTGTTCAGCTGCTATTAAAGAAACCAGGCCTTGACCAGTCAGACTGAGCCAATTATTGCCCCATCTCAAAACTTCCATTCATCTCAAAAGTAGTTGAGAAACTGGCTCTCACGCAGCTTACTTCTCACCTAGATGACAAAGGGCTTCTTGACCCATTCCAGTCAGGTTTTAGACGTGAATACAGCACAGAATCTGCACACATTAGGGTACTCAATGACATCTTGATTCTGACTAACTCTGGCTCCCATGTGCTGTTACTCTCACTCGACCTGACTGCAGCATTCGACACTGTAGACCTCACCATCCTTCTTCACAGACTCGAATTTTGGGTGGGTGTGACCAGTACTGCCCTCGAATGGTTTAAGTCGTACCTTAATGGTCGGTGTTTTTAGTGTTCATGTTGGAGACTGCTCTTCTCCCAGTGTCCCACTTCCATGGGGAGTACCACAGGGCTCCATCCTGGGCCCTCTCCTCTTTTCAATTTACATAATACCACTAGGTAAGATTTTAGCAAGTCTTGGGGTTAACTACCACTTTTATGCAGATGATTGCCAGATCTACCTTCAAATCAACCAACAGGACTCATTTTCTATAATGTCAGAATGCCTCTCCCAGGTCAGATCCTGGCTTTCTCAAAACTGCCTACGGTTAAATGACAGCAAATCAGATGCCATACTTTTTAGCCCCACTAACATGAATGGTGCTTTAGATGTCTCAACTCTCCCACTCAATCTCAAATCATGTGCCACTAGCCTATGTGTGAAACTGGACTCTGACCTTTCAATGTCTTCACAAGTCAACACTACTGTCAAGTCCTGCTTTTTCCAACTCCGCCGCATCACTCGTCTTACGTCAATCCTCAAACGCCCGGATCTTGAGTCAGTCATTCATGCTTTTATTACTTCACGTCTGGATTACGCAAATTCTGTCCTGATTGGGATTAATGCTTCAGCCCTAAGCAAACTGCAGAAGGTTCAAAATGCCGCGGCCAGATTTTTAACCAACACTGACAGACGCATGCACATCACACCCATCCTCGCAGATTTACACTGGCTCCCAGTCAAATTTAGGATTAACTTCAAGGTCTTGTTATATGTTTACAAGGCGTTGTACTGCCCATCCCCATCCTATCTGACGGACCTGCTGACCCCATATGTTCCCACCCGAGCCCTTCGGTCAGCAGATCATCTGCTGCTTGTTGTTCCGAAGGTTCGGTACAAATCACGGGGGGAGCGTGCCTTCTCTTATGCAGCCCCAAAACTCTGGAACCCTCTGCCCCTCCGTGTGCGTCTGGCTCCCTCTGTTAGCAGTTTCAAGTCGGCCCTGAAAACACACTTCTTTAGCATTGCCTTCCCTCTGTGACACTTTTCATGACAATCTAGCACTGGATTTGAGTTTTTAATTCCATTTTTATGATTTAGTTGCTCACTTTTGGCACCTCGCACCATCTGGTATTTTATTTCGTTTTATTTGTGCCATTTCAAATGTTTTTATCATTCGTCGCATTATTTTATTTTATAGTGCTGTTAACTGTTCTCCTATTTTATTGTTTTTAGTAGGAATTTTTATCTCCAACTATTTATGCTTTGTTCTTGTGTATTTTGCCTGTTCTTATTGTGTTTCTTGGTCAAGCCTTTTTTATGTACAGCACTTTGGTTAGCTGCCATGCTATTTTGAAATGGTTCTTTATAAATAAATATGGTGTGGTATGGTATGGTAAAGGTGAGTTTTGATAATATGTCCCTTTAAATTGGCCTGGACATTTCTTAGTAAATGTAAGAAAAACTGATGCCATTTCAGATCTTCTTTTGTCTGCCTGTAACTAAAACTTATTACAATAAAAACGCAATTAAATCACACCAAAAAGTGTGTTTTATTTAACTGTTTAATAGTTATTTATTTCCAAAACCGTGCCATCTGTCTGACACATTTCCTTTTCTTTCAATGATGCAGTGGCGCGCTTTCCAACTCTAGAGGGCACGATTGAGTCATAACCTGCGGCGTGTTAATTGCTGCTGTGACTCTCAGCCTACCTGGTGCCTTAATCAGTTTCTCTTTCAGGGCGGAGAGAGAAAAAAAAATCACAAACTCACTTATCAAGGAGGAGCCTGCAGACACACCGACATGCACCAAAGTGAGAGGAGGCTGAGACACAACGCATGCTGTGCGGAGTAAAAGCCTCTAAACGCAGCCAGTCTGACGGCGATGCTCCGCGGACGCCGAGCAGGAACCTGATTACCGACCCAGAACCGACCATTCTGCAGAACCACCGGAGAAAACAGACCCCAACGCCGCGATCACCGAGCTCCAGGTAAGAGCTCCACGTTCAGGAATGCAGGGACAGATTGCTGCATGACTTCGGGGAAATTCCTGAGCAACACTTCTCTCTTTTTTTCTTTTCTTTCAATGCCAGACAAACATGTGCGTTACTGTAACGTTACCTCACAGAAAAACGGGCATCACTTATCTGAGGTGTTTGTATCAGTGAAGGAATAACGTAAATAATTCATTCAGTTGTCAAACTATACATTAATAACTCGTTATTTAAACACCTGAGGAGCAGATCTTTAAATCTCAATGATGCAGATGTGTGTGTGCGTGGATAGAGAAACGGATTTCCATTCACAAAAAAGTGAATGTTTGAGCAGATTCCCAAAAAAAATTCTAAAATATGTGAAGAAAAATGCACATGTTGGTGCAAAGTCTTTCGCCCAATGACCTAGACTAATTTCCTCATCACTGATTTTATAGTCTAGACACCAGTAACACGTGGACAAATTGTGATTTATCACCAAAACATGGAGATCTAGATACCTTTTATTAGTAATAAAGAAAAAATAAAAGTTTGTTTAACTCTTAATTGTGATCCACAAGGTAAATTATGTGTTTGACAAGGTCTGTGGCCCTTGCACACCTTCCTAATCTATCTGCGTAATTGTTTTCTTGGTGCCGCCTGACTGTCCTGGGCCCCCGGGGGCCCCCAGGGAAAGTCCTGCCCGCAGACAGGCAGCTTAGCCCGGCTGGGGGGACGTGTCAGGTCCTGCCGCGCCTCTGAAGTCTCCTTGCTGACTTTGAACTGAAGCTGCTGGAGGAGGAAATCAATCCGACTCTATCCGCTGTCTCTCCGACTCCTCCTGCAGCCCCCGCAGCACAACCCGTCACTGCCGTCTTGAAAATCTTTCATGTTTGGAGGTAGAAAGGTAGAGAAGACAGAGAAGAAACAGGAGGGAGTACTAACTCATCTTCAAAAGACGTTAATGTGGTTTCTGGGGATTAAAGGGATGAAGGCAGAACAACTCCCAAAGCCAGGGGCCCGCAGTCCCAATCATCCAGTGCTAGACAGAAGTGAACAGATCATTTGTTTACTTACTCGCCTCGGCCACTTAAAACAAACTGGAATTCACACAATAACTCTATTTGTTTTGGAGCGGTATCACAGGAAGGAGAGGGGGTTCTTGTGTGTTTTTCTTGTGAAAGTTTGCTGCTGAGATTTATGTGAATCACAGCTGATTTTAATCCAATGCAGCGGAGACATTTATAGAGCTCAGAGGGCCTTTCTGGGTTTTTCTTAATACTACACACATCTAAGAGGAAATTTCAGCTTAACACGTCATTCAGAGGTTACTAATGGAAGTAATTTTTGACATATTCTATTGTTTCAAAGAATAATTTATTGCTTCTTTGACTGTTTGGTGGGAGCTTATGCCCACATGGCCGTACTTGCATCAGGACCATCTGCTTTATTAGCTTTATTCCTACATGGCATTGGAGTTGTTTTTATTACGTTGAGATGACTTACGATCAGTATTTTGTCATGCAATTAAGAATGATTACACTTTATAAAAGGAGAAACTTATTTTTTCCTTTGGTTAAGGTTGATTTCAGCTGTTTACGCCCCTCAGCTCTTCAGAATCAGCATGTTGGCCACCAGCTCATCACGTGTCGCTGCGGCTAATCTGTGTCCAGTTGCAAACTGAGACAAACTTCTCAGATTAGGCTGTCACTCGTAGCCTGTGTGATTTCTTGCGTAAAACAATGCAAACATCAATATTTTGGTTTTTTAAGGGAGTTTTTAGGGAGGAGCACATGCAACAAAAGCTGCAAAGCAAGGATTTCAAGCTAGTTTTCATCTTGACATGATGTTTAATTTATATTGCAGTCAAACATTATATTACAAAGTTCTCTAATTTCTATATTTGCCAGATGTTTTCTAAAATTATAGAAAATTTATGTAATAATAGAAGGAGGGGAAGTTATTCGTACTATAGTAAAAATATTCTTTATTCCCAGTCACACTTTGGTAGCTGCAGAGAGAGTTGTGCTTCCAAAAATGTTTATTATTTATAAAATGTAACTTTGATACCACTGATGATCACTGTTGCTTTGCTTTCCAAGCCAGGGGTAGACCGATACATCAGCCCGATATTTACCATTTTTTATAGATTGGCATGAGCCAATGAACCTCAAGCTGATTTAAAGTCAGGCACATCCCAGGCAGCCCTGTAATGCTGCAGGATTTCATTTAAATGTTCCTCAATAACATCTGCATAATAAATACTTAAAAAATTATTCAAAAATATATACTTTTATATTCCAGCTTTGAACATATTTAATACTCGATCAGTTAATTGTTTTGTTGGATTAAAGGAGCAATGTGTAAGAAATTTACAATGAAAGAATCCTAAAACAGTCAAATGTCTCTGTCATGTTGGAAGGAAGGTTTTACTAAAACAGATTTCCTTCTCAGGCGGGTGGGGGTGGGGTGGGGGTGGTGGTGGTGGTGGGGGGGGGGGGAATCAGTTTTTCCCTTTTCAAAAAAACTAAAGTTGTTAGTTGTTACCGTTTACAATCTGAGCCTGCGAGGTTGCAGAGTCTGCACCGAGCTAACGCTGCAACACCGACTTTCGCACCAACTGGCAACAGCCATGAAACTCACAGAACAGTGAGAAAGTGAGCTTTTGTTTAGAAAAATGGACTGCAGTTCCCAGATTTGACCACAAGATGCCATTCGGACACATTGCACATTCAACTTTAAATGTCTGATTTTAACACTGAGCAGTGCACAAAATTAAGATTTAACACTTTTTAACGTCAGTGTTTCAGATGAAAAAAATCTCCATCAACTGTTGTTATTAATGACATTTTAGCACACAGATAAATGGAAAACGCCTAGAAAGCCTTGAAAATGGACCCCCCCCCCCCCCCCCCCCATTATCGGTATCGGCAAATAAAACCAGTCAAACTTTATTCCAACCATCTCCATTTTTAAAAATAAACTTCACGTGCTCAAAATATCTCAAAGGAAGGTATAAACATATCATAACACGTCAGGGGATTTCAGATTTTTACATTTTGCAGCTTACTCTCCACCTTTTTGTGTGCAGCTGGACTCAGGGAAAAAAGGACCTGAAATCTGTGGTCCACAAAAGCTACAGGATAGTAAATTCAGCCAATTCTAGTTGATCTTCTATGGCAGTGGTTCCCAGCCTGGCGTTTGCATCAGCTTTATCAATCGTGTGTGTTTGTGTTTAATCACTTTTCATGTGTGTATACTGGCAGGCGTTGGGGCTGTGGGGTTCTGGCTTCTCTTGGACACAGGCAAATGGTCCTCAAGGAGAAAAAGGTTGGTTACTGCTGTTCTAAGGTACCCAGCCAGCTTTGGGATTGCATTATGTTGCATGGCATAATTGTATGACGACTTGTCTGTTGTTTAAAATGGACATAAACCCTTTAGAGTTGGCTGCTATTGTGGTTAAGTGGGAATTTAATCATTGGTTGAGTTTGTTTCTTTGTGCCATTCCAGTTAAGCTTTTGGTGGCAGGTGAAACAACGCAAGGGTAAACATGTGTCCTTCTGAACATTTGCAACAACCTCGGAGTCAATGCTTAAATTCTTAAGTCTTTACCTTTTAAATGGATTAACTCGGATTTTGCCTTTGAAGTTGCTCCTTGCAGCTAAATGCATGCGTCTTAAATATGCAGAAGACTTAAATGATATCTCCCAGAGAACCTGCAGATGCCTTTCCAGAGGTGTGAAAATGCGTGTCTGTCGAACATAGGCATGAATCCGATGAATGTAAACAGGCGGGGGGACCAGTGATTTTGTTTTTCTTCAAAGTGTATCTTTCAATGAAAGCTGCCTTTTCTTAAATACACTTAAGAAAACAAAGAAAACATGATCAGTGACATCTCTTTAAGTCAGAAGTCCTGCCTTATTTGCTGATTGCTTTATTCCAGGCGTTAGCCAGCGAGAAGGAAAGGTGAATACTAATGGATTCCAGGTTGTGGATTATGCTTCCCACCTACAGTCAATGCAAAACAAACAGAGACAGACGCAGAGACAGAAGGAGAGACGTTCTGCCCCAGCTGAGCTAAAGAGGGGAACAAGGGATCGAGGAAAGGAGATGATGAAAGACAGATTACTGCCAGGCAGAGAATCAAAGTGCCTCTTGACTGACTGGAGCTGCCACTGGTGTGTGTGTGTGTGTGATACACGAGTGGGCGAGTCTGCGTAGGCATTTATATACTTTTTTGCTTCTTTTCGCGCACACTAAGAGTTTGTTTTTTTCCTAAGCTCTGAGGGAGAACCTGACGGTAAGTCTATAATTAAAGCAATCAAAAGATGAAGAGAGATGAAACAAAAAAAGTCACACACACTCAGGCGAAAACATCTTTTTCAACAAGAGCACTCAAACGATTGGAGGTGGTATTTCCGTCTTGTTCAAAAATCTTCTCGTAGAGGTGAAGGAACGAAGATTTTGTTGTTTTGTTCTATAAATTGTTGGTGATGGTTCGAGTTGCACCAGAGCATCTTCTGTGCAAATCCTGTGATTAACCGCAGCGATGCAGTCATTGAGTAAACTGATATTTAACAGGAGACAAGCCCCAGCTGTTGTTTGAGGCTGTGTCTGTCTCCGGCGTTGCAAATCTCTTTAATTAGGGGTTTATTTTCACATCAAACCTCGTGTCGCAAATTAGATGTATATATTTCCAGCTCATTTACCTCCTTGTGAGTTAACCATTGTGGCTATTTTGTTAAATGAGTTGGACTTCCTGCGGGACTGATAAATACTTTGAAACGCAGAGGAGCGCGTTGCGTAAACACACACACACATGCCTGACTCCCTTTAGGTCCTTTTCCAGTCATCGTCTTAGGGTCGCTTTGTGGCTTGACTTAGCGGAAGGAGAAGACAGTTGGTCCAGTTTGACAGACAGGCCATCCGCCGCCACCCCTCTTGCATTTACCCTCAAGCCGTGTCCAAATTATAAGCGGGGGAAGAAGCGCCGGCGGCTAATTCCTCTTCGACATCAA